ATTAATCAATAAATACCTAATGTACCCACTATATATATAATATATATATATATATATATCCTATGGATTTAACAATTTGGGAATTGCCCATGACGAAAAGTCGGCAATAGAATTCTGGGTAAAGTGCACAATCATCCACTGCTTGACACGCTTTTAAGAACTGCACATACTTGGTATCCATGTGCACATCGACCTATTTTCACTTAAAAAAAAAAATCCTAGAATTGCACAAAAATGGCACTGCGCACACCCTTGACCTTATCAATGTACACATCGAGATTCTGCACTTTAACGAGAATATTTTCAAAGAAAATGCATCATTCATTATAGAAAATTACGTTTGAACAACCAACGAGATGAAATTATGCTTTAGCGATAAGTTGGTAGCGAAATAGTGATGCAGGCATCCATTCAGTTTGTTGTAGCATTTTTTTATAAATTATAATAATGATCTGAAATAGTTATTTACTCTTGCTTCCATTCAGTCATGTTTAGCCTTTTTCATATAAATTATAATAATAAAAAGTATTATATGAAAGTTAACCTTCATCTAAATTAAAACATCAATCTTAGATAGTTATTTACTATTGTACTTTCTTTCTTGCCGCAATTATTTTTGGCAGCATTGGCATCAACAATAGTGTGGCGATTTTTTACGGCCCTCAAAACCGAATAGTACCTATATATGAAAGTAAAACTCAAATGCTGACTGACGGAAAGCGAATTTCATGTTAGACAAACGGATTCGAATTTCATGTTTGACAAACAGATTCAGATTTTTATTTATCAAAATAACCTTTCATAATGCTTCATTCTTCCTTATTGATAACATCAAATTCTTTTTATGACGAATTTCAAATTAATCAAGCAATTTCCAATAGTTTAAATTATACAGGGACTACTGATGGCATTTCCATAAGAAACCAAATACACAAATCCATCACCTGAATGATTTCCTGGCAGCTATAATAAATACAGATGCCTTCGATCTATACTTATGATGGGTCAACGTAAAATTCAGTATACGCCCACCTAGCTGAAACTGGGAATTGATTACAAGGTACACTTAATTCAAACCACAAATGAGGAAACCCATTAACCTACGCCTGCCCCCATATGACCCAATTAGAGTTTGAACTCATTCAAAGTAACTGGGAAATGAAAAATACAAGAGCACATACCATGGTTACATTCCATACCTCAAACAAACATGTCATATAAAGCAAATGAACACAACTTTTCGGTTAGAGTACAGGTAAGGGTACCCCTCTTGTATTATTGCGAAGTTGTTTCATTTATTGCTGAATAAGGTAAGATTAATTTGAAGTTTCCGTACAATTTGCAAAGAAAGAGGGAAAGAGCATTATTTGACTGGTGTGTAAATGAAGATTTACTTAGTAAGCCTTTATTAATTGTCCTGCTTGTAGGAAGGAAATGCGTATAGTTGGACTATACAGCACTACAGAGGATATTTTTTACTCTTATTTTGTGAATTCATTGGCGAGGCCAGTAAATGAATATAATTCGATGTGTACATGGACAAAGTCAAGGAGGTGCGCAATGCCTAGTTTGTGCGATTCTCTGATGTTTTTTAAAGTGAAAATAGTTTGATGTGTACACGGATAAAGTCAAGGGAGTGCACAACGCCAAGTTTGTGCAATTCTGGGACTTTTTTTAAATGAAAATAGGTTGATGTCTATATGGATACCAAGTTTGCATAATTCCTTTGTCTTGTCATTTTGGTTCTGTGTAGCGGCAATTTTCCGCTACACAAGTCAAATTGCACAAACTCAATATCCATGTACCGCCAAAAATTACCAATTTTCGCCAAGGGTTACCCGTAAATATACTTTTACAAACTTTTTCACCAGCTTTAACTTCTGTTTTGCAATACCAGTTTCCATACATAATTTCTTCAATTCTATAACATTAATTTAGCAAAGGAGAAGTGCACTTAACGTTTTTTAAAAAGTTCAAATTTCATAATTCGTTTCAGTGTAACTTTAGTTCCTGGGTTTAATTTTGAAAATAATTAATACTTTTAAACAATTACTTATTTTTTTAAAAATTTACATTCCACCATCGTCACATAACAGTAAACAAAATATGAGGAATAAAGGTCTGCAAAATCAATATAATAAATATTCCCTATATAACACTACTTCAGCGTTTCTACATCACTTAGAACACACCACTTTAAATTTAACAAATTATTTTGGAATACAGAGGAAGAAAACAATACGATTTCTAATCGTATTGAACTGAATAACAGAACATATTTTTACAATTAATATTTGTAAAATACATGTTTCACTTACGCATAATCAACTGTGTCAATTTAAATCATCTCTTATACACTGATGTCATAAAAATTTCTGATTTCATCATTTGCAGTCCCAAAGCATATATTGTCACATTTAAATAGACCTCAGGGAAGAAAAAAAAAGGGGGGGAACTAAGTTACCCTGCCTATTTTGTTTATATATATAATACATATATTGTTTTATATATTATATATAGTAATTCCCTTTTCTTATTATACATATTTTAAATTTAAATTTTTATTTTTTAATTTTTGATTTGTTTTTGCAAAGAATGCATTATATTTCTTATATTTTGGGTACAACTCTAATATACGCCCTAATTTCACCAAATGTGGCGATATGAGTTCTATGCTGGTTTTTGGCGCGATTGCGTGTTCTATGGCAACCCTGTTGACGTTGAAAAATCTTTTGCTGGAGCTCGTTGGTTCGCCTCTGTGCCTGAGAAGATGTGAAAGAAAGATAAAATGGTAGTTGTTGAATTGAAGTTCGGCAAAAGGAAATATGATTGTAGCTATCCTGTTGAGGGGTAGTGGGTATTTGGAAGTGTGGAAAGAGGGTCTGGGAGATTATTTTTAATGGCAGTGCATGATAGAAGTAGGGATTTTATTTATTTGTGAACTATAGTTAATTTTCTGGATAGTGTGTCTGGCTGTCATGTAAATACGATAGTGATTACGTGGCGGCATGTTAAAGGCGGTATGAAATTTATATTTCTGCTATTCGAAAACGCATTAATTCATGGTAAGTGCATTTTATTTTATCCTTGTTCTTACTTTGTAGAATGTTTGTTCATTGGTTCTTTAGTATGAATTTCTTCTGTCGTTCTTGTTGTTTTTTTAAATTGTTTGAAATTTTTATTTTAGTTTATTTTGTTGTTTAGTGTCTAGACTGTACAATTCGTAGATGTTTTTTAAAGTTGAAACAGAACGTGTGTACATGGTATATTTGAAATTTATTGTTGTTATGTTATTTTATTAAAGCGGGGAGGTGTAGATCATATTCCTTCCTTGCCTAAATTGTGCAATTCGTAATTTTTTTTAAGTTTAACAGGATGTTGTGTACATGGTATTCTTTGAAATTTATTGTTATGTTAATTTATTAAGCGAGGTGTGCGTAGTTTGTAGATTCGTTCGTTGCCTCCATTGTGCAATTCGTAGATTTTTTTTTAAGTTAAAACATGTCGCTGTGTACATGGATTCTTGTCATATTTTTTGGTTAGAAACTTTACATTTTTGCTATCTAAATTTTTTTGTTTTTGTTTCGGATTTTTAGCTGAATTGTGTGTTCAAAACGTAGTTTTTGCATGTGCGAAAACCGCGTTTTTGAAGACATTTTAGGCTAAAAGTTCAAAATGTAGACAAAAAATTTAGATAGTAATATGGCAGCGTGAAGTTTCTCGCCAAAAATATTTGGTGAGAAATTTGGTGACTTGAAGGCGCATATCAGAGTAGTTCCATATTTTGTAATTTTCTAATGTTTATTTCAATTACTTTGAGTTCTATTTCATAATGCCAATTTCCAATGTTTAATTTTTACAAATAGTTTTGAATTAAAATGCATAAACACAAGGAGGTCGGGGGACAATTACTCGAGTAATATCAATTTTACTGCAGAAATTGCTTTTCACTCAAAATTGAATTAGCAAAAATACTTAATCGGAATGAGTGCTTTGGTGCTCTGCATTGGTTCTCGATCCCTTCTATTCACGGAAATATTTGGCCTAGCTTGAATTGCCGGTTTGGCATCACCTTATTACTTGAGTAAAGGACAATACACCTTTGTATTTATTTTTAATTTTTGTTCATTGAACGGGAGTTGGTTTGTTCCCCTTGAAAAGTCAACGAATTTCCAATCAATGGCAATGATTACTTACTTTTAATTTAATTATTTGCTTTTAATTTATTTCTTTTTACAATTATTCATGACTTAATTCAAGTCCCCGTTTAACATTTTTAACAATTTTTGAAATTGAACTTACTAACTATGGATTCATTCTTTTAAAATAATTCTACTAAAATTAATCTTAGAAGATAATATAATCAATATTTCTTTAGTAAATAAATTATTTACTTACTTTGCAGCAATTGCGCAAGTAGTAGAATAACTCGATTTCGCTCTAAACTGAATTTAAGATCATACAACTTATATACATATACATATATTGTTTATATAATATTAGGTAAAAGTTTACAATCGGGTGCCCCTTTTTTATATATAATACATGTTTATATAATATTATATATATGTATTGTTTATATTATATATATTGTTTATTTATTACGTATATATGTGTGTGTGTATCAAAAACATGACATAAGAATTACGAAAATGCGATTACTGAAAGGATGTAGAAAACAAACAATATTGTTTTAAAGGTCCAAGACACAGAGCACGGGTATGACGTAAGTGCATCACACTCTTGCGCGATTGCAGACGTTTGAAAACAAACATGGCGTTCAAAAACGTTAAGCATGTCGGATATACATAGTCAAAATAATCACACACGAGTAATATGTTTAAAAACATATAAATTCGTTTATAGCCTACATATTTTTATTTCCAAAACCTCCCATATACACTAATATGATGAAAAAATTAATTCCACTATAGTTACCGTTATTTCAAAATCGTTATCACTTTAGAAATAATATACATATATTTATAACTATAACTCACCCACTTCTCTCCACATAGCCCGATGAGTTGCTAAAAAACCATCTCGAATAGCTTTAAGTACCTGATTATCATCATCACTCCAAAATGACTTTTGACTAACAATATTATTCATTAAATGTTCTTTAGCAAACAAGGCAGCTTCCCTACCACCATGACCATCAAAAATTCCAAAATATGCATACTCCAGATCCTTTTGATCTTCACTTTGTTGATAAGCTACAACAAAAGCATCTTCCATATATTTCCTTCCACCTTGATTACAATGTCCTGTCACGCGTAAATTAAGTCCAATACTCGGCGTCATTACACAGACCACCTTATTAACTTTACTAAACAAAACTTGTGGTTTAGCGTCCAGCGTTACTGGAGACGTCAGCATCTGCCGTAACAGTTGAATGCTATTGGCTTATAATCCAATGACGTAAACAGAGATATACCTTTGGCGTATTTTTAGTCACTCGATCTCAGCCCCAGCAGTGCTGGCAGCGATTCAATAGATATATAGATGGCGCTCTGGAACTTTAATAGGCAGGGAGGTTGTTTTATATTTTCGGTGTGTTCATTCAGTGTTTTATATTTCAGTGATTATGAGTAAATTTACCAAGAAAAAAAGTGTTTATTAACTAAAGGATGAAATACTTCGACGTAAAGAATAAAGAAACAGCCAACGTTCCTTGTTTTAACAGGAAAACACATTACGTACCGATTTAAAAATCGGGACCATCATTCAAAAGTTCGTTTCCAAGAAATGCTCAGAATTTTTGAAATATTAAGCATTATCAGAGCCGTATAGTTTCAGTTCGAATTATCAGAGCCGTATAGTTTATCATATTATCAGAGCCGTATTATCGAACCGTTTATCATCATTATCAGAGCAGTATAGTTTCAGTTCGAGTCCTATTCCTGCTTTGTCAGGAGCAAAGTCCATATCTTTGCAAGTTATATGAAAGTTGATAGATGAAAATGCAAAATGATTATAAAAAATTCAAAACAAAGTCCTATAATGCTTTGCCAGTTGAATCAAAGTCTTTAGTCTGATACCTGTTGCTTTGATGAGATTTAGTAGCTATGAGCAGAGAGGGAAAGGAGAAAAACGAGGTACTAATTGTATCATTTTTATATGTTGGATAAGTGCTTAGTGATGATTAGACAGACACACACCACTAGAACTTAGACCCCCATCCAAGGATCTAAGAGGGACTGCCAAACGGTGTTTGAGAAATCCAAGGTTCAGAGACCTCGATCAAGGCGGCGCAGCGTATTTCCAAACCCTACCCCACTTTTCGAATTTTGACGTCACGGAAATATCGACTAGTTTCACCTGGCAAGACGGCGTACCCCGCTTTTTGAAACTAGCGGCTCAAAACAGGGATGGCTGTGAGCGGCTCCTTACGGAAGGCCTGTTATGCGCATGCTCACGGACATAGTGAAATGTATTTATTTTCAAATGATCATTGGGCTACTACATTTGGCTATTATGCGCCACTTGGCGTTGTTTCTATCAATTATCGGAAAATTCGAATGTGAGAGTGGTTCCTTTTTCACTTTATATATAAATAATATTTTTCACACATATGATAACTGTTTTAAATGCTGAAAATGAAAGATCTGCTATTTAGACAGAGTTCATTGCGAACAATGAAAACTGAACAGTTAAATATTAAAATTCTTTCCGTGAAAACAATCACGTTCAGCTTCCGAGCCATCACTAGGCAGAAGAGACATTTTTCGAATATTTTGATAGTGCTTCTGAGAACAAAATAAGAGAAATTCCTGTCATAAAAATAAATATTTTGGGTGCTAGTTTCCCTAAGAAAGGTCCTCCATGGAAGCATCCCTTCCCTTAGGCAGATAGTCCATATGAAGTTAACCTAACCTGAAAGTAATAATTTTATTATGGATTGATTTGAAGACATCTTTAACAAAAAAAAAAAAAAAAAAAAAAAAAAACCTACAAATTTCAGAATTTTTTCTCTAATAACCATAATCATATTTATTTAGTTTTGGAATAATTATTTGAGTATTTTCCATTCATATATAACTTTAATGCTCATGTAGATTACAAAAAAAATATTTTCCTAAATTTTAAAATGTTCTATGGGAATCAAAGCTATTACATTTAAAGAAGTTTGCTAGTTTAATTGAGAATGATGAAATGTGTGCTACTACCTAACAGAAGGAATATCTTCACTGAGAACTAAGGGATTAGGACTATTTGGATTATGTAAAAGTATTTTACAGATATCTGCCTTAAGGAGGAATGCCTCACGACCAACAATAGAAACTTCCACAGAAGCTCTAGGGTTATATCAGAATCTCCTTCTAAACAAACCTTCCAACTTCATGATTGAAATTCATCGTTGCATAATATAGTAAAATTAACTTTCTTACATCAGATTTCAACCGCTTTATATACCTATTATGCAGTCATTTTATTTCTATCGTTATATTATTTATGCCCCATTTTAGAGAATTTTAAAAATGCAAATTAAAAAAAAATAATAATGAAATAGTGGCAATACATGTTTACTGACTTTCGTAAATGTTTCTCTTATGTAGTGTGATTAATTGAGTATGACGTACTTCTTCATTTATGCTTTCATCACCTATAAATTTAGATTTTAGAAGTATTAAATGTTTAAACATTATTTGTAATAAGATGTTCTTAAACGAGTTTTGTAGTTCTTAAACAAGTTTTGTGATTTCATAAAGTAAGAAAATTGCACAAATCAAAAATAAATTTTTATTTTACTAAAAAAATATAGTATATCATATAGTAATCATCTATAAAAATTTCATATAGTATTTTAACACTTGAAAAATAAGGAAATGTAAGAACTCAATAACAAGTTTTTTTTTAAAGTACATAATAAATTACAAAAAAGGGAAAAAAAGAAAATTATCTTGCAGTTTCGGATACAAAAATTTTATCATAAAATGTTTTTACTTGATTTTCAGCTACACCGCATACTAATAATAGTAGCAAGTAATAAATTTCTTCAGTTTCATTTTCAAATAAACTGACTTAAATCAAACATCTGAATGTTAGACACATAATTTGAAAAGATTCTCTTTTTTTTTTTTTTTTTTTTTTTTTTTTTTTTTGGCATATAACCATAACTTGATTTTTAATGCTGAGAACAAGCATAAAAGATCTAAATTATATATCCTAACTTGTTATACGATTACACTTAGATAAAGCAAACTTTGTAATACTAAAGACATAGTTTTTAAGGTTTGAAATAATTTTCAAAGCAAAAACTTCAAACATCCAACTTCTAACACAAATGCGAAACACTTTATATTAGCTCTACATACAATAGTAATAAATAATTACCTAGGTTTGAAATATTTTTTCATGAATATAAATAAACAGGTATTTAATGTTCTGATGATGTCATTTTCAGGAACAACATGCATGAATAGATTCACATAAACTCTACATTAAATAATAGCTACATTATTTGAAAGAGTATTAATGCTATTAGTCAATATCCAAAACACTTTCTTCAAAATTAGAAAAACTAAAAACTCCATATATTAGAATCAAACTTGTGATTAAATTCACATCAATTATGCATTTGGACATGGCAGATACAATCTGAAAAGGGCCTAATTGATTTAAGTGAATAACCGCAGCCTTGTGTCAAATGATATAAAAACCCTTTACATTCAAATTTTGTCAGAATCATACAACATTTTTTATAATAATTCTATTTACATCAGAGTTCCATTATTACCTACATTTGAAATTACCAACATATTTATAAATAAGGAGGATAACAGTTTTCTGATTTTATTCTCAGAAACATAATGTGCATGAATAGATTCATATACGCCGAATCTTGAACACACTAATTTAAAGAACCTTAATGCCATTAACTAATTTCCAAAAAATTTTCTTCAATACAGCAAAAAATCATGAAACACTCAGATCAAAGCAGAATCAAATTTGTGATTGAATTCACATAAATCATGCATTTGAACATGGCACATACAATTTGAAAAGAAACGACATTGTTTCGACTGCTATAAAGGCCCTTATATCCAGATTTTTACTCGAATCATGAAACATTTTTCAAAAGTTATTATTACTTGTATTAGAAATATACCTTCATGAATATAAATAAGCAAGCAATCATTTTTTTTTTTTTTTTTTACTTCACTCTTAAGAAACATCATGTAAATAAATAAATTTTTATTAACAAACATTTTAAACTATAAATATACTACTTTGAGGGATTTTTAATTCTATAAAGTTATAACAAAAAACACTCTTTTTCAGTAGCGAAAAGCATTTTAAACACCACGATTTTACAATAATTATATATATGATTAAGTTGACATTAACTAATTATTTTAAATTAGACATAAACTTTTGAAAAGGGCCTTATGACTTAAGTAAATAATTGCAGTATGTATTTTTATAGATACAAAGGACTTAAATAACTAGATTTTCATTTAAAAATACGGTACAATTCCGTTATAGGGACCGCAAAAAATCACCAAAACTATTGTTGATGCCAAAATAATTATGGTAACCTTAACTCAAGAAAAGCATAATAATAAAAAATAACTATCTAAGAGTATTATTTTAATTTAGATGAAAGTTTACTTTCATATAATACACTTTATTATTATAATTTAATATAAACAAACGGCTAATTGTAACTGTAAGAAAGCATTATTGTAACTATCTAAGATTATTAATTTAAGTTGATGGAAGGTTAACTTCATATATTACACTTTTTTGTTAATTTAATTTATCAAAAAAAAAAAAAAAAAGGGTTAAAAATAAGTGAAATTAAACGGGAGGCATAAAATTTTTAAGATCCTGCAACATTGCAGAAAAAAAATTTCAGTTTTTTTTTTTTTTTTTTTTTTTTTGTGAAAATGTCTATACATAAACTCGGACAAATAAGAATTGAAATGTGCCCCGATGGTGTTTATTACGCCATTTAGCACTGCCCCACAGTCGCTGTATCGTTTGCGTATGGTCCCCGTTTCGGGGTCCACAAAATTCTAGTTGTGGTTGACAGTAAAATGTTCAATGCCGGACATATCGCAGTTCATCCAACTTATATGATTTCTAGCAGTCAGTATAAATAATGCTTCCTTCTGTGACATTTTCCTTTATGATGTTCGAACATCAGTGGCCGAGCGATAAAGTCGCTGAACACTGGTAGTTCGGTCTGAGGTTTGAATCCCGCAAACGGGCTGGCTGTATGGACAATTTAATGGTTTTCTCTATGTGTAACGTGTATACAAGCCAGTTTCCCTTAGAAAGTCCTCCACGTAGGCCTCTCTTCCCTTAGGGAGATAGCCCTCGAGGCTTTGCTCT